ATTTTTACAGTCTTTAGTTTACAGTTAAAATATGTTTATGAAATAAAGTCTAATGTTACAACTAATCATGGATCCCTTTAAGTCCACCACAGCTATCTAACAAACTAACAGGTTTGCATCGGTCCAACCAGCCTTCAGCTCAAAGGTGACAGACGTGTGACGTAGACTGRCAGCCGTCTKAGCAGTTAGCGATTWGYTGTTAGTTTCTGCTAATTCTTTGATATTTTAGCAGATTTTGAGTTAGCGAAGCGTACTTTTTGGTTACCTGCACTCACCACTGGTCATGATGTAATTTACAACCTTTGACAAAGACCAATTAATATACGGTACTTGTTATATCTATTTTTGCTATCCCAAGGTGGTCAACCTGTTATGTGGATGTGTGTATGGGATTGTGCGGTTGCTTGGTGTCTAGCCCCCTAGAACACACGTGTTGGTCARCTCACAGTGCAGAGTGGGTGGATGTCGTGCTTTTCACCGTTGTCATGTGAATCGYTGTCCACCCACCCCTGTTGTGCTCCCTTCCACACCAACCCATCATTAACAGAGACACAAACAGCTCGCCTTATTTATTTATTTCTCTTACTTTACAGCAGCTGAACACAACTCGCAGGGTTTTCTCTGCCAGCAGTGAGTCAGATTCAGTTTCTAACTYGCATTATAGAATTACCGCCACCCCCGAGGTGCAAAGGGGGGTTTTAAGTGGTCGTGTTAAAGATATGGTGACACGTCGACAAGCTATATTCATGATAGTCATTAAGTTTGCCTGAAATGATAAATACGCTTTTGTTATTAGAAAAATAACCAGTGTTCGGTGCAATTGACGCGTCACCTAACCAATTCGATTGCATCATAGACCGTTACCTGAGAAAATAWCTTTCATGTCACCAAGCAGCAGGAGAAGTCTTCTGTGCACCACTGGAATATGAAACATCCTATCAATTACCACAGTCACTGGGCTGGTAAATTTATGTCTGGTGTACTTCACTCTCTCCTTAAATAACCTCTCTCTGCCTTAAAAAAAATCCATTTGATCCACAGCTAACAGAAAGGACGGGGCCGATTTGTACTGGACAGAGAAGATACGATAAGTCGCACTAATCTGTGACTCACGCAGCGCAGTCCCCAATCACACTTCCATCTGTATCCTTTTCCCTGTCCCCGTCTGTGTCTCTGTCACTCTTTTTGTCCTCCAGCCTTTCCCTCTCTCCRCCGGGGACCTGCTGCGTTTTCATTAATTCATCAGTGGACTCCTACACTCCGAGTCCGGTCCAATGCTGCACGAAGGCGAGGGAGGGAGGTGGAGGAAGTGGGTGCGAGGGGTTTATTAGTGTTTGAAGTGATGGAGGAGCAGGGAGAGGGGAAATGCTATGAATAGACACGCAGCTCTGTGAGATAAGCCCGAACACAATTCCTGCTGCGGAGTTTAAGTGAACTTAGAAGCAAGAAGACCCCTTGAAACTGAGAGGCTTTTAACAAGTTGGTGTTTTTAAACTGAAGACTTTCTCCATGTTTAGGTGACTGACATGAAGTCCTGGAACCATTCATTTAAAAGCTGTTCTCATAGTTACAGTACTCAACACAACATTGCCTTCGTATTGCATAYAGCGCTGCACATTGACCTGATTGTCCCTTTATAGGCGCATCTAAAAAAAATACACTTTCATATTTGACAACTATACATGCTGTAAATTAAGTCTTAACACCATAGTTTGTTTTGGTTGTTTTAAATATACAATGTAAACCTTTACAGRATTGTCTAGTTTATATTAATTGTTGATTCAGACATGTATATGTCTTATGAATGCACAGTTTGTTGGTTATTTATTGAGGTTATGAATGCTGTGATTTTTGGGAACAAATGGGATCAGCTGGCAGCTGATCTGGGTAATCTCGTCTCAGTTGGAGCCTGGGTGTTGATCCTAAAGCTCAAAATTAATCTCTGCTTTTCAGAATCCATTCTGTTGGTTTTTATGAACAGGAAAATGCATTCACTGTGCTGCTGTCAGGGTTTACCTAAAGTAAAAAGCAGTATGCGGTTACACAGGAGAGGTAATTGGGAAGCTGGTAATCTTGTTAATGACGGGTCAGTGTGCTCTCACAATGACGTTTCAGTGAAAAGAGGTAGCAACTAATTGTTCACGGTGAGATTTTTTTAGTTTTAATTGGGAGGATAAAAAAGAAAAAAATGACGTTAGGAAGGAAGAGCTTAAAGCAAAGCAGTCTTAAGATTACTCTTTGTTTGCCATGCAGTCAATGTGTCAGATCATTATATCCATCGTCTGGCTGCATCTCTGTCAGTCTAATGACCCACTTTTTACCTGTAACGTTTTAGGACTTTAAAAACCACAACGTTTGAAGGCAGTGAGATTGTATTTTCATAAGTAGAACTGAGTGGAGGGTTAAATAATTCATTTGGGGTTTTAGGAGGTCATTCCCCCTTTTTATATTTTTGTTCTTCCCTGAGCGCGATGACTCACCACTGCTGAATTTCTTCATCCAATCAGATTCAAGCTCCTTCTGGCTGCCTTCTTCTKAAATGCAAAGTCGGTTATAAACAACCCTGTTCATATTGTCTTCAAGGCTGTCTGTACTTGCATTGCTCTAGTCTCCYTTTTTTGCCTGTTTTTGCTGTATTTGTCTTTTTTTTTTTTTTGTGGTGGTGGTACAGTCAAAGCTTTAGATAAGATGACTCGACGACGTGTGAAAGGAAAAAGCTGAAACTATTTTTGCAGACAGGAAGTTTCTCCTTACGCATACATGTATATTTTTACCTGCCACATGGAAACACAGCTGTGTCTACAAATAGCCCAAAAAAGTGAACATTTGTGTTCATGTGTACATCTCAAAATAACATAATTTTAATCGATGCAATGTTATTTTACTCATTATTATTAGCTGCTCTTGTCTTTTTACTTTTAAGGCTGTTTAGTTTTAGTGTCTGACTTTGCWGCAGCTTGTGCCAATTCCTTTTGGTGATTCACTATGCAATGAAGTATGCCATAGCTATATCATACTTAAATTATTACTGCTGTTTAAAGAAAAGACAAAACTAAAAGTGCTTTAAAGCTTGCTGTTTTATTGCCTCACGTTTATCCTTTTTGTTGATTTTGCTTATTATAAATATATAAGGGATAAATAGAGTTTTTGCTGGAAAGACGAGGAAGAGAAGTGATTTTTTTTCAGGGGGAATGTCTTCACTGGAAGATATTTAACTTCTTCTGGTTTTGCTTTCTCCTTTTGTCTCTGATGTCAGGGGTTTGTGGTTGTTGCAGGGCGCTCAGGCCTCGGTACAAGAGACTGGTGGACAACATCTTCCCAGAAGATCCAGAGGTAGGAAACTCACTTTCTCATCTTAGATAAACTCCCGCCTCGCCTCTACTGATGTAGATGAATGTTGAAGAGTTTACAAGTCGCTCAGCTTGCTGCTTCTGTTTCTGTTGTGAGTCTGACGATTCCGTTCACGTTTTCCACATCGCAGAAATCAACTTTTGCATATTACAGTCAAGTTCTGTACCCATTTTTCTGGTAGTTTTACTTTCACATGTAAATACACTGTATATTTAATTGGGGAAAAGTAGAGACAATCGGTATGCAGAACTGCTTCCTTCATGCCAAACCTCGGGTCTCCTCTCCWCCACCACTCCCTGTGATCAACTCGATCCGACACTATTACTCATAAGCAGCATTAATTTGGGTGAAGATGAAGAGGCTGATATTGCAGAGAAAACTTTTCATTAAGCTGCTGCGCTGCTGCAGTAACCCACTTTATCATTTATGTGTCACCAAATTACGTGACCGGGAGAAGCTGAAAAATAAAAACAGACCTTTTTTGTGTTTCTGTGGACGTGCACCTGCTTGATACGTCAGAAAAAGATGTCTAATTTTGGCTTCAAGCTGCTGTGGTTAAGTCTGTAACTAATGATGCCCCAGGAACCTCGGAATAATAAAACCAAGTGATTAAAAATAGCCCCTCATGCTGTTCATTTATAGACTATACGAGGCT